CATAAATGAACGGAATGCTTACGAATGATTTGAAAAAATTAAAGAATTCAAATTTTCCATTAATGCATAAAATAATGAATGAGGAAAAAGAAGTCAAAAAAGATATCCGAAAACATTTTCCAAAAACAATAGCTTAATTTTAATAATTAATTTTATGGATTTAATTCGAAAAGAGATTCCAAAAAACAATAAACAATAATTTTTTAAAAATAAAAAGAATGGAACAATAATGAGATTGAAGTGTAGTGGGAGAGAAATCAAATAATAATTAGGTGAGCAATTTGTAAATATAAAATGAAGTGAGAGAGAGAGAGAGAGCGAGAAAGAAAGATAAGAAATCGGAAGAATAGGAAAGGGTAGTAATATGAATGTGGAAGATGAATAGAGGAGAATTGTTTAGATGAATTCATTTGAATAGAAAAGGCAAAATATGAATTACATAAATTTAAATTTTTCCCTAATATTTTATTTTATAGTATATATGGGCATATTTTTTGGTTTCTTTCATATGTGAAGAAATGAAATTTCCTGCAATGGTGAAGTTAAATGTTTTGATTACACTATTTTACTCCCACGAATTCCCAATTAATTTACTTAACTTTCTTCCGTTTTCATCATATTAGATAAAAGAAGAAAAACGAAACAAGTAAGACTTTCATAATGTACGATTGTTACCAGCTTTTTATTTTTTGTCGAATGTAAACTAACTGAATGTTTCCATTCGTAAAATTCGAAAGTTCTTTTTTGCAAATGAAACTTTCAATAAATTTAGCAAAATGAAATGAATGTAGTAAATTCCGTATGCTGTCAACAATAATTTCTTCATTGTAAAATGATCAAAAAATGATTGCAAATTTGGTTATTTTATAATTTCAAACAATTTTATCAATTTTTTAAAATGCTTATATAAGTAAAATGTTCTTGTAAATGAAGTAATTAAAAAGTATTTTGTAAGTGAATGGAAGAAAACAAAAGTAAACAAATAAACAAATGCTTGATTTATAATTCAATGAAATATCGCTGTAAGCAATAAATTTCATCTTATCAATTTCTTAATAACATTTTTGATAAAAATAGAAATCATATCAGTATTTATAAAAATTATAAATAAAAGTGATAATACCGCAATAATAATCAATTTGTTTATTCCAATTTTTATCAAATGTGAAATTATTGCATTTCTTGTCCTTTTTTCTAATGCTTTCATAAACAATTGTACTTCTGCTATTGTTTTTGTTGTTGTTGTTTGTTTTTGTTTTTGTTGTTGTTTTTTGCTGTTGTTGTTGTTGTTGTTATTGTTGTTGCTGCTGCCTTTGTTATTACTGTTGTTGCTGTTTCTCTTTTTATTGTTGTTGTTTTTGTTGTTATTGTTGCTGTTGTTGTTGTTGTTGTTGCTATTGCTATTGTTATTGATTTATCATTATCCGCTCGTAATTTACTGCCATTTTTCATGCTATCATTAACACTAAAAGAAAACAATGAGAATAAAATAATTGAGTGAAAGTTTTTTGTAGCAAAATATTTATCAAAATTTCTTTAGAAATGTCTGATCAAATAAATGTATACTTAAATTTATTGACAGTTGTTATTAATTCATCAAAAATTTATTTAAACCAAAAAAAAGAAGACAATAACATTTTATGACATTTTGTTTGTTTTACTATTACACTTCAAATAGAATTTTCCTTACAATCTTTCATTTCATAATTTACAAATAATTTCGTTAACAATTAAAACAATCTAAATTAGCTTTTGCTTAATTAATCAATTCATTAGCAGGCAGTCTTTTATTTCAATCATTTATTTGCATAAAAGTTTATCCTTGAATTTTATCAAATTAGAAAAGGGTTAAATTTTTTTTGTCTAATAAAAATTGTTGTTAATTTAGCAATTAGTAATGGAAACCTGCTGCTACTAATTTCCCGTCTACCTTTTTTTCTCCGTAAAGGAAGAAAGGTAAAGACGAATAAAGAGTTTGGAAAACAAGATTTTAAAATGATAGGAAAAGAAAAAAAAATTAGGCGAAAGATAAATTTGATGAAAGAGAATTGAATGATAAGGAAGGATATTTCCGCTTATTTATTTCCTACGAATAGAATTAATCATTCAACTATCATTCAACATTTTGGTTATTTTAAATATACCAAATGCTTTTATCGATTTCATTAATTAATAAATTAATTTTAATTAATAATTTCATAGCTCTCTTTTCTGGTATCCTTTTTTTTTGAATAAATTTTAAAATTGCCGTAAGGTCAATTTTCTTTTTTGAATGCGAATTATTCTGATTGATTACGATGACGAAAAAGGTCGACGCCTTGATAATAAACGAAGTAAAAGGAAAAAAAAGCAAAAATTTCTCTCTCTCTATTTCTCCATTTCCTTATTTTCTCTTTCTAATTAGTTTTTAATTAGAATTCAAAACAAAGAAAATAATTAGTTTTCAATAAGAACTCACAAAAAAAAAACCCAATTTAACTATTTTATAATAGAATTCAACATTTTGGATAAATATTGTTTATAATTACAAATAAAATTCAGTAAATATTAAAATAAAAGAAGAAAGAAAGAGAATTTGTTGTAAGAAATTGTTTTATAATAAATTTTCATTACAGTAAATAATTTAGTATTTTTTAATTCTACTAATTACAGTAAACATTTTAATGTTTATCAACTTTACTAATATAATATGGTACGATATTCTGTAAAATAAATGATAGAAAAGCATACTGTATAATTGACTGATTGAATCTTCATAGCCTATGATTTCTGGCAAGACGGCCAAGGGACGAAGCAATAGCCAAAAACTACTGTCAAGAAGGGAATTATAAAGAAATTATTTAACGGATAAATAAATCTTTCATCTTCTTTTTCTCTAATATAATTATATCACAGCAAACTAATTAGAAAATATTTATATTTACAATTAATGAGATAGCAAATAAATAATACTTAAATTTCAAATTTGTTAAAGTAAAAAAAAAAAATTTAATAATACATTTATTTATTTTGTATTGTTTTAATTTCATTGGCGAAAAAAGAAATCAAAAAAAAAAAGGTATCCAAGATAATATAATTTAATTTTAATAATTAATTTCACAATTAATAGATTTAATTTTGAAAAAGTTTCATTGAAAAACAATGAACAGATAATTTTACATGGGAAAAAATAGAATGAAACAATAACGAGATTAAAGTGGCAGAGAAGAGAAATTAAAGATGAGCAATTTAGAAATATTACATAAGTTTTACAGCAATTACGCAAGTTTACAACATTTTTACAACAAAAGTTAAACTGCAAAAAAAAAAAGCAATTATAAAATAATGCATATGATAATATCATTATTATTATATTACAAAAATATCATTTTAATTATTATTTTTTCTTTTCTTCAAAATAATAATCTTTTCCTGAAAAATAATTCGTCTTACTGAAATGCCTAAATTTACAAAACTATAAAATCCATTCCAATTTTTCAAAATAATAAAATTTATTATCATCGAATAAATCTTTTCATTTCATTTGCAAACCAAATAAATTTGCAATATTCGTTTTATTTTTTCCGTTTATATGGATAAATTCTTTTTCCGTTTGCTATTTTTTTGCATTTTGACCTGAAATAATAGTTGCTATTTTGACGAAATATTTCTTTAATTACTTATTTAATTATTAATATTTACTTAATTACTCATTTACTTAATTGCTAATTAAAAATTTATTTAGGAATTCATTTATTACCGAATAATTTACTTCAAAATCAAATATTTTGTTTAGCATTTGGATTAATTTTTGTTACTATTTTTCGTTTGACCCGAAATAATAATCAATTTGTTTTATCTGAAAATATCCATCATTTATTTAATATTTTTATTTTTGTGTTAAAAATTATTTGCAAGTTGATAGATATGCTTTTTTTTTGCTATGAAAAATTTTACCGTATCACATTTGAAATGGATTAAAATAATAAAAATGGATTAAAATGGATTAAAATAACAGAAAGAGATTTTAGGAAGAAAATATTAAATTGTATGGATAAATGAAAATTCTGTCTTTCTTTTCAGTAAACAAAGAATGATAAGCAAATTTTTTCATTCAAAAATTAGTAAGCAATAAAATGATAAACAAAATTTTTTTAATTTTAATTTTTGATCGTTTTCTTTCAGATATAAATTTGATTTACAAAAGAAGAAAGAAATGATCAAATTAAAGGAAGAATAAAAAATTCCTAATTTTCCACTTTTTAGAAAACTTGGAATTTTCACTTAAATTTGCAACCTTTTGCAAAATTTGGAATTTCTACTTAAATTTCCATTTCTTGGAATGGATCGGATAATAAAATTTTTTTTTAACGACTAATGAAATGGGAACGAGATCAATCTAATTTATGCTTAGATTTGAATGTTTTGAAATAAATTTCATACTGTTCAATATTTTTCAATAAAGCTATTTTGAGAACGGATAAAATGAAGGCGATATTATGATTGATTAATAAATTATAATTTATGTTCAATTATAAATTATAATTTAAATTGTAAAATTATAAATTATAAAATAAATTAGAACAATTATAAAAGAAGTTTAAATTATAAATTATAATTTCAATAAATTACAGGTTACAATTTATGACGACGTAAACGATGTTCAATTCATATTCAAAGCTTCACAATTGAAATTGTTCAAGAACTTTAGCCTCGAAATTAGTGCAATCCTTAATTCTTCTCATATTGGAATTAATTCAAAAATTGATTGCATGGCAAAAGATTTGTGATAAAATGAATAATCGATTATATGCTTAATTTTATCACTTAACTTTAGTGATAAATTCTTCATCGTTTATCTCTTCCATTCTTATTTCATGATTTAATTGTATGCTATTTCTTTGTTTTTTCCTTATTAGTCATTACAAATCAAACAATTGATGGTAAAATTAAAGAAAAATTTTACCCTTTATTTATGATAATTGATAATAATTAATAATAATTAATGAAGAAATTAATAATCATAAGCAAACCTTTTTTTCATCACATTCTGCTATTGTTTTGCTTCTATTTTGAACATGAAAATTGGTTCTTATAATATGAATCTCATTATTATCAGCATTATCATATATCATAACGTTTCGTCGCTTTCTTTGCTTATTACAGGATACATGATGACACGTGATACGACACGTATGCAAATTACAAAATATGTTCACATCATTGCTGTAAACAAAAGAAGGATAATTATTATAAATAAGCCACATGTTTATAATAATTTTATTGGGAAAGAAAACATTTAGTTTTTCAGTTCTTTTTTTAAAAAGCAAACAGGTAATTGTTGATTGTGGCGGCAAGTGATGCTTGAACATTAATTATTGGCGGTAATTGATGCTTGAATATTATTAGTGGCGGTAATTGATGCTTAATTTTATACAATTTTCAAAGAAAACTTTTCATTCGCAACATTTTTCTTCATCCATGATAACGCTGATACGATGCATGATTATCTTTTTCTCTCTTGCACTCTTTCTATTGCATACTATAACCTTTTCGAATTTCGTATTATCCTTATTCTAGTTTCCATTTCTCTCTACCTTTTATAATATCAAATAAAAGCATCTCTAAAATCATCTTTTGAAAAAAGAGTGAATTTATTGGCAACTTCGAAAGGCATTTATTTTTGCTTCCAATAATTTAAAGTTTTATATTTATTAATTCATTTATCGCTTTTTGTTTTATTCTTCAATGATATTTACCTTGCCATTTCTTCTAACATTTCATCTACAAAATATTCATTCATTTTTAAAATTACTATTAATATTTTCTAATTGCTGAAATTAATAATCAATAAAAAGATATTCAATTTTTACAAACCTTGTCGGAAATGCCCATGCCTTAATTTGATTCATGAAAATGATATTGTTATCGTGTTGTTGACGTTGAAAATGATTCCATACGTTACCGACAAGTTGTATGCTGCAACCATTATCATCAGAAAGTTGTAACGTTGATTGTGCATCACGTGCCCAACAATGTCCAATTCTTGCATCTGTCGCTAATGAATTAACTCGAATAATGTAAGCCTAAAATTGATATTATCTCATGGAAAAATTATCTAATTATCTAATGGAAAAACAAAAGAAAATTATTCTTTCGGTAAAATGATGAATGAAAAATGATAGGAAAATAATTCATTCAAAGATGTTGCTAGCATTGTAATTTTAAACTAAAATATCTATTTTGAAATTAAAACCTAAAATACCTAATTTAATGAACCGTGAGAAATAGAAAGATATACTCTCTTTAAGTTATTATCTTACTTCTAAATTTTCATTTTTATTCCTCTATTTTTATGGCTATTTCCCAAATTCAACTAATAAAATATCAAAGGTTCTTGACCTTTAAAGGTCAACAAATAAAATGCCGAAGGTTTAAAATGACCTCCAAAGATTAAGGTAGACGATAGATTAGTCAAAAAAAAGTTTCATGCAAAAAATATTTATTGAGAATAAAGAATGATTAAGTAAGAAATAATTGTTGACAATTTATTTTTTTAATTAAACTTTTTTTTCAAAATTTATTTTTGATGAGCCGGAAGAATATTTTAGTATAAAAGTTGAAATACGTATAAAGAAGAATGATGTGCTACCTACAATATCATCGCCAACATAAATTGGACCATTGATTGGTTGTAGGGTACCATTCAAATTCACTTTATGAAGTTCAACTTTGTACTCTACATGTTGATCAGCAATACCTGTCGCACTGATTGTTGTTGCAGTAATAGTTTTACTATCCACTGTGATACCACCAAAATTAACAGTTTCTGATATGGAACTGAAAATATATCAATTTAAATTAGAAATATATATTTCCAATGATTATTTATGGTATCATTTATGAATACCTTTTAATATAATTTAGTGTGATATGTCACTATGATTAATTACTGCTACTTTATCATGATATAATTTAAATGAAATTTAGATAAATATCTGATTAATTTGTTACAGTCAATCAAGTTGGTCATTTATTTAAGTATTTAATTGCAAATGAAAAATGATTACTTTGATTTTTTTCATATCAAACTATTCGTTAATTATTAATTACATCCTTTCAACAAATTTTTACTTCTTATTTTTAACGAAAATAAAACCTTTATTTTTAGTAATTTAGCTCTTTTAAAAATTATAAATTTATATTTTAATATTTTTAGACTTTTAGAAATTACAAATTTATATTTTTGTGAATAGCAAAATAATTTCATTTATTTATTTTTAAATAAAAAATTTTTAATTAATCAAAATAACAGATTGTTTAATAATTTTTTCTAATTAATCAAAGTAACAGATTGTTTAACAATTTAATTAATCAAAATAACAGATTGCTTAATAATAATAATGATTGTTAAATAATAAGAAACAGATTGTCTTATAATTCCAAAAAAATAATTATTCGTTTAATTACTTCATATGAAAAAAAGAGAAAAGAAAAGAAGCAAAGAAAATTGATTTGATTTGAAAAATCATAAACTATAAATGAATTTTAAATGACGAAAAATTTCTTACACAGCGATAAGCATTAAATCAGCTAATCTAATCCATATGATATAGTTAAAGCTAAATCACTTCGATATATAATAATTATCACTAAATTTTAAATCATTAAATTATCTTTTAATTAATAGTTTGATAATTTTTTAAAATATTTATAATTTATAAAATTTTTATTCATCAAGCATTATTTAACATCATTAATTAAAATTTGACAAAATGAAAATTCCCTGACAAATTTTCAATAAAAACAGATATTGGCAGTGATAGAAAACGATCACCCGAGTGTTGCTGGAAATGCCGGAACGCATGTTAACAGATATTTCTTATCATTTTCATCCACAAATAAGGGATTTTCCTGAATGATGATTGCATTTTCTAAGTTACCATCCGAATTATAGGTTGTTTCACATCCATCCAATGGTACCTATGCATAGATAATATGCAATATCTACTATAACACAAGGCTTGATTATCGATTAAATTAAAATTGCAAGAGTTCAAAACTCAATTTAAATTTTCAATTGGCTTTTCTCTTTTCTTATCCATTTTAAAATGATCCTAAAATTTATAAAAATTTTACAACGAAGACATTTTAAGATAACAAATATTAAAACACATAGCTTTTGTTTTTTAATTATACTTATGATAAAAATTTAAGAAAAACCACGAAATTATTTATATAAATTTGTAATTAATTACTAACTAGCATTAATGAAATCAAATAATTTCGAATACTTAAATTTGCAATAGCCTATTGGCTTTATATTTTCCGCGATATGAATATTATTCTTAATTTCAGGAAAAAATTTAGAAATGAATAATGAGAAATGCACTATCGTGAAATAAGACATAAACATGAATTAGTTTTGTAATGGAAACCAATGGTACTACTATCGGTAACATAAGCATGCATAAGTTAGTTTTGTAATGGAAACCAATGGTACTACTATCGGTAACATAAGCATGCATAAGTTAGTTTTGTAATGGAAAACAATGGTACTACTATCGGTAACATAAGCATGCATAAGTTAGTTTTGTAATGGAAAACAATGGTACTACTATCGGTAACATAAGCATGCATAAGTTAGTTTTGTAATGGAAAACAATAGTACTACTATCGGTAACATAAGCATGCATAAGTTAGTTTTGTAATGGAAAACAACGGTACTAGAAGCAAATGGTACTGTCAGTAAAATAAGCAAGAAACATCGGTTAGTTTTGCAATGGAAAAATTTTGAAAAGAGAAAAGCCAATTTGAAATTTAAAAAGAACCACCTGAAAACTTTAATAGATATAATTAGTATTTATATTGAATTGCAAAAATTCTATTTTTGTTTTAGAGAGATAGAAATAAGGAAATTGAAAAAATTTCATTTGAATTTAAAATATCATAAATAGTTAGTAGTTTGAAAACGAAGAGGAAAAAGAATGATAATGATAAAAGATTAATATATGCTACTTTGAATTTCCATGTTAGTAATGGTTATGATAATGATAATGATAAATGTATGCTACTTTGAATTTCCTTGTTAGCGATGGTTATGATAATGATAATGATAATGATAATGATAATGATAAATGATGAATGTATACTTTCTCGCTAGAAATTTCTAATAACAAAAAGTTAAAAAACTTCAATTGAATGAAAGACGTTTCTTTTACATTCAATAAATTCGACAAAATGAATCATCAAAAGTTTCAAAAAAGTTTTTGATAACTTTGTTGCAAAATAAAAGTTCCAATTTCTACCTTTACAGTATATACTATTTCAAAATTCTACTTGTATTTTTTTTTACTTAATTATTTCAAAATTAATAATTAATTATTCCAATTGTATTATTTGCTAAATTAGTTTATAAAATTGATTTTTTAAATTAATCCTAAGTATAAAATATTTTCGCTCTGCAAAGAATACTATAATGTTCTAATTATATTATTAATAAAACTAATTTATCGAATTGATTTTTTAAATTAATCCTAAATTAATAATAATATTTCCTCTCTGCAGAGAATACTATAATATAAGTGGATAATGATCTTCAAAAAAATACTTATTCATCAAAATAAACTTTTTGAATTTAAAAAATTTTTCGTTTTTCGAAATGCTTAAAATTATTGTAATTTTGATAGTTAAATACTCATCGATTTATAATAGTAATAATAATACATTTGACTTTCATATTGAATCAAACTAATAATAGAATTCGTAAAAGTATACCTTAATAGTATAGGATAATTTGGTTATAATTGATGCATTCACATAGATGCAATTTGGGAAACCTTTCTCGCTATAGATTATACCACGAAATGGTTCTTCGAATTCAATTTTAAACACAAAATTGCTCTAAAATTCATTAAACAATTATTATTATTATTATTATTATTATTATTATTATTATTATTATTATTATTATTAATAATAATACTAT